TACTATTTAGAGGATTTTTCTCTTAANTACGTAGGGAGTGACGATATTCTTATCAATATTACTATTTAGAGGATTTTTCTCTTAAAATAAGAAACTCTTCTTGGCGCCTATTTTAGTATAAAATATACTTAAAGTAAGTGGGATATCTCCTCAAAACAAGAATACAATTATTTCGGTGTAAATATAAATAAATACAACAGAAAAGGATTGAAAGTTGTGTTGTTCCGTGTTGTTACAAGTTTTTTGATCTCATTGCAACACTTATATACGTTACAACATCGCGCGAACTTATAGATAATCGCGACTAAAGACTTGCGGTCTCTCCAACTGCTTGTAATGTTTATAAATAAATTAAATACAGAGAGATGTGCAGCAGTTGCGAACATATTACGATTGGTTCTAGATAAAAGCTGCAAAAACTCGAGAGATCGCGCTCGATATAGACTCTCAATTGAGAAAAACCGATTTTACGATGTTTTATTTTAACCCGCGAGGAAAATATAACTCGCGAATGAAAGAATGATTGCGCACCGAAGAGTTTGTGTCGCGATATCTGTCGAATCTTATATATATATAAATTTGTATCTTCTAAAGCCTTTCTTGAGAAGCGCACGAAAAAAAAAAAAAAACAATCAAACAACTTTCGAAGAAGGATGCAACTGCGGGTGTAATTGAGGACATGGCGTGTCCGAGTTGACGCACCGCGGTAACGTTCCCGGAAACTTTAACTGCGTCGGACATCCGTAGTCTGAAACTACGGCCGCAATTATTGTTGTGACAAGGTTGCTTCCAATAATTCTCTCTCGCGAGTATGTGTGTTGTATATTCCCGTGCTCTCTCTCTCTCTCTCTCTCTCTCTCTCTCTCTCTCTCTCTCGTCTATGTTTAATTTCGAATCGATTGGAGTTGCGCGCGGAACGATATCTTACGTAGATGTTACCGCGCCCGCATATCGCCCGCTTGCGAATTGCCCTGATAAATCGCACGACGCGGTATATAAGCTATCTACCTTAATGTGAATGGGTTTTTTTTTTTTTGAAGTACGTTTATGGAGACAGCAACTATAATACCGTACTATCTCTTCCTCTAAATGATATCTAAATCGATTTATTCCGTACGTGGGAACGATTTGTTTTCTTTTTACTTTCCAGGTTATATCTATTTTTCTTCTTGTGTCGAGATGCACAATTGCACAACAAATATTACTAGCACGCAATTGTATTCACCGAAAAAATTGTATTCTTGTTTTGAGGATATCCCACTTACTTTAAGTATATTTTATACTAAAATAGGCGCCAAGAAGAGTTTCTTATTTTAAGAGGAAAATCATCTAAATAGTAATATTGATAAGAATATAAAAAGCCTCTATAGAAAAACATATATATCTCACTATCAAAAAAGACTATATATTCTTAAATAAAGAATATATTCTTAATTTCAGAAGAATATCATCTAAAATCTTGAAGAAGATTTTTTAAGTATAAAATCTTCTACTTACACAGTAAAAAAAAAA